GAGGTGAAGGGGGGGGGGAAGGGGAATGGCGGCGTCAGAGCGAAGACATATCTTCACAGCGACGCGGCGAAAGTAAAACCCACCTCGTTGATGTGCTTGTACGTCTTGATGAGGTCGACCGAAAGCTTTCGCAGCGGCGCCGTCGACGGGTCCCTGAAGTTCTGCGGGATGCGGGCCTGCATGGCCTGGATGTCGCTCGGCGTGGCGTTGACGGTCGCCATCTGCTCCTCGGCCACCAGGCGTCCGTACAGGGGGGCATGCCGCTCCGAACGGCGCCCGCCACCGCTGTCCGCCGCTGCAAACAGAAACAGAACAAAACTTGTAAGTAAATAACAACACTTCGACTTAGCACACTAGCTTAGTTATCAAAAACAAATTCGACTTCTAGCTCAAGGCCTTCTTGGGGAACGGGCAGGCAGACGGACACCTACACCAGCACCAGGGCTGTTACATAAGCCCACTTAAAAGATATAGCTTTTCTCCAAAGCAGAAGAGCGCACTAAAAAAAATGCTGGTCGAGCGTGTGCATGGCGGGAGAGGCAGTTGGTGGGGCCCTCCTGCCACCCCTAGCCCCGACGTCTACGCTCGGGGCAAAAAGCACGGAAAATAATATCATCCAAGCCTCGGACACGCCGTCCTCCGCAACGGGGCAGGGCAGGGCGCGCCAGCACTATGTGGCCCGAGGCGAGGCCCCACCGCCGGCTCACACCAGAGCTCACCCGCCGTATTGGCGTGCGGCGGTGACAAAGCCAGGACTTGCAAAAAAATTCTCAGCAAAACGTAGCAGTAGTAGTAGTACACAAAAAAGTTCTCCAAAGTCCCGAAGTCGAGAAAAATTATTCGTAGTAAAAAACGAACTTGAAAAATTTTGCTTCCGGCCAAGAATAAAATGTTCGCAGTAAAGAAAGAAAGTTTTCTTGTATCTCTTGGGCCAAAGCAATACAAATCTGGTCGGTTTTTAAGAATAATTTTCTAATCTATGGAAAAGTTTGTCAATGTCGTATAGCAAACAGGGTGGTCCATAGACCCCTTCCTTTATTTTGCTCATACTGTACCGCATGCGGGCGTGCGGGCGGGTTGGTTGCATACTCACACGGAGCCATAAGGCGCCGTGGGGAGCGACGGTAGGCAAGCCCACCCGCACGCCTGCATGCAGTACAGCATAAGCAAAATCAAGGAAGGGGTCTATGGACCACTCTGTATCATAACTTCGAAGTCGAAGCGACTGTTGGCTGTTCGGTCGGTCGGTACCGCCCACAAGCGCGCAGTATGACTCCAAAATAAACCCCAGCCCCATAGAAAACCTTTTACATTTAATTTCACCCTCTCCCTTACAGCCTTTCATTACGTGCACCCGCCGGCCGGCCGCATGCAGTAGCAGAGGCTTAGGCTAAGTCCCGGGCGAGGCGAGGCGACGCTGCGGCCGGCCCCGGACCCCGGGCAACCCTAAACGCCTTACGGCCCCGCTAGAGCCCCGCTAGAGCCCCGCCAGGGCCCCGCCAGGGCCCCGCCCACCACATGTAATCTGGGCGCCAACACGCGAGGTGAGTGCTCATTACATCCGGAGCGAGTGGGGGGGGGGGGGAGTGCGCCGGGCACAGCGCCGGGCACACGAGGGGCTTCGGCCGTGCCGGACCGGACCCTGCTCTAGCCCTAGCCTAGATCAGCTACCTATATAGAGCGAGTAATCTGTGTGATACAGACACGGGGAGACACGGGGTTGAGAGCACGGGAGCGGACAACCCGGACAGCTCCCCGAAGGGTCAACGCCACTGCTGCATTCTGGAGGGACGCTCAAACAACACATGACAACTAAAACCCATGACACTAAAACAAAACAACAACAAAAAAACAGCCACTCGGACATTATTCCCTCGGCGCACAAAAATGTGATTTCTGGTTTTGTACTTAGTTTCTCTTTTCTGCTTATCGAGAGTTGAAGCTAGCACGTTTGACTTTTGTTTAAAGGAACAAGGTACCGTCATGCTTGCAGAGCAGAGTGCACGGGTAGCCCCGCCGCGTACCGGGCCGCAGCGAAGCCCCACTCCGCAGCAACGCTCGCCTCACCAGCACTGCCCCCAACTTGTCCTGCATGTGTAGTCCTTAGCTGAGCAGCTTATTCATGGCAAGTTAAAAAAAAGGGGAAAGGACTCAAATTGTTTTTAAAAAACACGCCGCGGGACACAATCTGTAATTCACCAGAGAGGGGGTGACAGGGGGGCCCTGCGGGGGGCCCTG